ATCTTGTCAATGTAAAGAGCGAAATCATGACCAGTGGTTTACGATAAATAGAACGAATCGGTTGGCTTACTGGGTTTCATCAGTGCTCAATGTTTGTTTATCTCTTTGTCACATGTAGGCTGGCTAAAATCGCACAAGGAAATGTTGTAACAAGATGTTACTGACTACAAATAGCCTGACAGTTGAAAGTGGGAATTTCAGTAAACTTCCCACGATTTGCCTATTTGATAACAGATGTTTCAGTCGCATTGAAACCGACCATAAGCTGACGTAAATTAAAAGGTTAACTCTAGGGGTGGTGCTGTGGTTAAGTTTCAAGAAGCAAAGGCAACAGAACTTAGGGTTTTTGAGCATCCGCCATACTGTAGTAAGATCACTTTGCAAAAGCTAATATTGTCCGCTCTAAGCCTCTGTTCAGAACGTTGAAATCGGATAATGGTTAAGAATGTCAGTTTCAGCAGTAAATGGCTGCGTAGTTGCTCTGGGTCATTTCAGACATGGAATCTGTGTTTTAACTTTAGCAAACTGAAGTTAACTACACAGTACAACCGCATACTAGTGTCAACCAAACAACCACAACACATTCGAAAATGCCCTGAAGATGGTCTTATCCTCTTGTTACCCATCTGCAGCGTGCATCCAACCAATCCTACATAGTTTCCTACCGCTAGTCAGAAATCAGTAATCTCATGCGCAACTTAAATACTGCCTCAATGTTTGGAAGCTTAGATAGAAAGCTGTCGTCAGCGTTGTTCCTTGCATGTCCGTAACGTACATCACAATGCTGGAGGAACTGCGTTTCTTTGCAGTTAGTGATTAGTCATGGCAGTCCATCGCTATCAGCCATAGATCGGTGACTTTAACCGCTTACTCGAAGTAGTAATGACATGGACTCAAATGCAGCGGCATTCGCTATATGTGCCGCTAACAAGTCCCATTAGTAACCAAACACTGATCTAACGTTTTCTCATGTGCATTGGATACTTGGTGGAACCTATGCACCTCAACAAATAAATCTTCAAGCACCTCATATTAAAAAAGGAAATGGCGTACGCATGTCCTAAGTTTGTGCACCTCCTAATCACCAGTAGACAAACGCGATTTTCGGATTACTGTATAGCTGAAAGAAGTCAACAGTTCAGCTATGAGAATGTACGTTTGCTTTAACCGATTTTGGCTACTTATAGGATAAATTTTGACATTCCAATTCACCATAAAATTCATTTAAACTTTACTTCTCAGTGAAACACGTAAATTTAATATCACTTTTCGCCCGCTATCAGCTACATGTAGTCCAGCTAATTTCTGGGTGCTAACTGTAGTGACACATTGTTTGAATGCCATTATCTAAAACTATATCCTATTAGAAAGTAAGCTTTGATTAGTTAATGCAGCTTTGGCATTTAAAGAAATTTACAAACATAATATTAGGCACTTCGAATATGGTTGAAACTACTAGATGCCTTAAAGTGTACGACGTGTAAGTGCCTCGAAAATTTAAAAAATATTATCTTTAAGCACATTTATTATTCTCGTACATTTCCGTACCATGAATCGAATTTCTGCTCATTGCACACATTTTAACCTCTACAGAAAGCATCTGAACTGAACATTAAATCTGTTTGCTGTAGGCAGCAGAGTACACTGTACACTTTCTTTCTCCAAAAAGCGCATCCGCGAAAGTTGGAATCTGTTTTGGAAGCTGGAGCCACTAACTGCATGCCGATGGCTAAATGAACTGAATGGTGTTTGTTAAAGATTTTGCCTAGGGTGTGAATCGTTTACTTACCGTTTTCTTCCTGGGACTTTTTCATAATATCTCATTTTCCTGATAGATGTTCCGCTATCATAATTGTACTAAATGGCTTGACGTTGCCTGAAGTATAACAAAGAGTACGAGTCAATGTATTGTTCCAACTGGATAAGTAGGTAAAGGCTGAAATGATCGCATTGGTGTTTGATCTACGACTATTTTTGACCTTCGATCTCTTCGGTTCAGAATCTGATAACAATGGCTGGGTATTAATCCATCACATTTATCACAAAGGGGCTTTGGAACTAGTTGTTACAAGTGGCATAGGTCAAGCTGTCAAAATTCACACCGCGCTGTTCAACGTGCTCTCATCTCAGGACATGTTAGAATATAGCTATCAGCTAGCTCGGAGAACACCCGCATACAGTTATCCATGTCTTTCAGCAACAACTTTCGATTAACTTTATGCCCAATGTGCATTCCATTCATGTTACTTACTGGAATGCTATGCTTAGGAAAGAAAACCAATTCCCATGGGTGGAAATTTTATAGCATAGTCCATATAAAACGTATGGATAATCGACCTGGTATTATATTTTCGAGGAGTCCAGGTTGATCTTAGTTCACTTGCTGATAATGGTTGTCTCTAGATCATATCGAATGTTACGCTTTCATTAAAGCAGAGGGAAAACAAGCATTGCGATTTGATAACAGTTCGATTGCTTTTCTCCCCAGCAGAAATAATGTGCGCAAGAAATGTAAGCATGAAAACAATGAAATCTTCTAATCCAGACCACAGTGACCTAACGGCTAAATCCACTTAATTTGAAACATAAAACGGTGAACCATTGTAAACTCGTGGCACCTTGCTAGTTGTCAACCATTTCTGGAGTGCTGCCGAAAAAGAATATGTTGAATGTCTGTTGTGTATGTACGTGAGAATCAGCAATCACAAACCTTTATGCTAGACTGAAAAGCGTAATAATTCACTACATGGTCTACTCCAATTTTTTACATCAATGCCTGGCTCAACCAGCTTGTAAAGTGTTCTGTTACCGTTTGAGACAGCCGAAGGTCATCCGTGTCCAAGAAAGTTGTTTTACGTAAAACATTTCTTATCCGTTTCCTGGTTTACGGTACTGACTTGCACTACTTGTAATATTTAATATTCCATTGGTGAAGGCGTTTGATCTCAACTTCTGTTACTAAATTTCCACTCTTCTCGTGAGGGATGTAAACAATGTCGACACTGTGTTGAAAATATAGGACGGAGAGCTCCAAACACCGACAATATCGACACATGATTTTCAAGCCTTTATCGATAGGCTTGAAACATCTGGTTAGCAGAAATGAAGTTAATGCCTCGCTATTTGCTATGACTACCAAGTATCCATTTGTTAGAAAATCATTGGTTAAAGAGAGTCTATTTAATGCCACAACCAATGTTGGTCTGGTTAATTTAGTCGGAAAATCGCAAACGTTATATTATGTGAGCTGAAAACAACGACACATGCAACGAGGCTGTATTTAGAATTGACAACTAGCTTAGGTTGTTCAGATGGCGGTTGAACTGTTCGCTGAGCTTGGCAATTTTATTGCAAATCTATCGTCACCAATCGAGGTGACATCACCAGTGCGTAGTTGAGTGACGTGCAGTAGCGTAGAGGAGTCTCGGTGAGAGTGCTAAATTTATAAGAAGTGAAAACGATTGCTTTGTGTGTCGCCCACTTATGGCCTTATATTGCTCCAGACACATATAAGTGTTTAATGGGATTAATCTATGCAGCTGCAATCTATGGTTGCTTTGGAGTTTTATGGATAAATTCCTATTAAAGTCATATTATCCTAAAGAGTGACGAGCCTATGCGTTGTGCTTAAGGAAGAACCGTTTTAATTTGCGCCCAACGAAAAGCAGCTTTTAATAGCAGCTGATCTTCAGCGCCATTTTAAGCGTAGTACTCATATAACCATTAAATCGCTCTATCAAATCTTCCGCTTGATTCAGTGATGGGCAATTAAATTGGCATTCAAATGGGCTATAGCCAACTAAATCAAAATATAGAGTTAAAATAAATATAGGGCCTTTTATTTTAATATCAGTAGGGTAACGAAAACAATTGTAATTTTAAGTTACACGGTTCAAAAAAGACTGCTATGACACAGCGCATTTGGCTTAAACAAAATTTAAAGCATTAGTTTTTCACTTAAGGAATATTTATTGGAGAAACTACAAAACTGATGAAACCGCTAAGAAGATTTCCAATCTTATCATCCGATGTCCCATTTAAGATTTATTTGTTTTAAATTTGTTGGTGTCACAAATCAGGGTGCTAAACTAGTCATAATGGGAAGCGATGCATCGCGAACCTAACCCATGGTTAGAAGTAACTGTAGGGATGCAAATAGAAATTTGGTGTCACCCGCCCGAAGACATTGCACTACTATGGCGCTTTTCGATGTTATTACATCTCATCAGATAGAGTTAGCAGGCATGGAACCCGGGACCAATGGGATGTTAGTTGTGACCGCTACCCCTAAGCCACCGGGCCACGGGCAACGCTTGGCACAACGGTATAATGAACGACGTTGAGGGTCATTTTTGAAGTACACGTTGTGTGGATGGATTGCGACACGCAATCTCAATGTTGACCGCGATTCCCATTGAAGTGAACCTTGGTCTCTCGATCACGAGGACCGTAGCTGATACAAATTGAAATTGGGTGCTTCCCGCCCGAAAACACTACACTACTATGACGCCTTTCGATGTTATTACATCTCATCAGATAGAGTTAGCAGGCATGGAATCCGGGACCATCGGGATGTTAGTTGATTAGATGTAATAACATCGAAAGGCGTCATAGTAGCGCAGTGTTTTTGGGCGGGCAACACCCAATTCTATTTGCATCAGCTACGGTTTTCGTGATCGAGAGACCAAGGTTCACTTCAATGGGAATCGCGGTCAACATTGAGATTGCGTGTCGCAATCCATCCACACAACGTGTACTTCAAAAATGACCCTCAAACTCCTAACTGTAGGGACGTTAGAACAATGGCAATAACAGACGTTTGCCAGCACTTTTTTCTTATTATCTTCTCTTTACAACCTGACATTTCGTTCAGCATTGTCAAGCTTACTCACTTGACAGGATTAGTATGATGTACGGTTCAAGGCGGCACAGAACGCTAGCGGTGAATGCTGATTCTTCATTTTTGCATTTTATTTCAAACGCATCTAGCTAAATTACTTATGAATGTAAGTAGGTTGTGTAAAATATATCTGATCGCTGTGGAAGGATATCGTATTTTACTAATTCAAGCAGTTAGCAAACAAACAAGCAATCAAATCTGTTTACATATTCGCGATTGTGTCGGATAATTTTTCCGAGGTACTGAACATAATGAACACTCAAGCAACAAGTTTAACCGAATAGTGGGTTACGGTGCATTTCCATATTTTGGTACCGGAATCTACAACAAACTATTTAGGTGGAAGAAACTAACTATCGAATATTCAAAAGGCAGTGTACCAAACATATTTTGATAATTCTTCTTCAGGCCAGTACAGTTATATACCAACCAGTTAAATCAGGCAGACTATTGAGGTAGTTGAAAAGGGGCAAACAAGTCTTTAGCAGGGGTCAGGTCAATGGCTGTGCCTGCACGAGGTCCAACTGCGTAAAGGTCATAATTCCATCGGGTTCAGGGCAGCCGTATGCAATGAATGAATCACTTCTGCATGTACCGATCGGTTCGTGCAGCCGGATTTCGATAGCTTCGGCTGTTTCTTTATAAAGTTAAGCAAACAAGTGCCTCTACATGATCAACGCGGATTGTAACTAGGGGACGTCTTTTAGTTTAAGTAACCAAGAAACTGTCAACGGCAGAGAGAGGCTCAAAGCTGAAATTTTAATGCGGCGTGACCTGTCGCAAGCTGTCCATGCCACCATAGAAATCCATTCATATCGACTGATCTAGCAGAAAAATCTAATCCTGATTTCCTGTAAAAGATATTTAAAGGTGTGAGAAAATTAGTTGATTACGAAACGAGAGTAAAGTTACATCTCGTGGACATGATTTAATTGACCAAATAGAATACGCGCGTTAATCAGAATCTTGCTTTTATCCACAGATTCAATGGCATGTAGAATGGCGCAGCTTTTTAAAGATGTCTCACCTACAAATGCTTAGTTACCAAGACGCGGATGTCACAGCCAAACAATCAATTTAACCCGTTAACTTGTCACTGAGTCAATTACGGTACATCAAAAATAAGTTGGTCTTCAGTAAGTACCAGCTTTCTTGTGATTATGTTGAAGGTACTCAATTTTTTAATCTTTATCAGGACGAACATATAGCCAGTTTGCTTAATCCTGGCCTATACTTTCTATGTGCTTCGAGAGGTCATGATACTATACATGTTGTAAGTAATAAGTTCTTCACAGCTGTTCTCGGGATGGGCTGATTTCTTAACGGTAGCCAACATACACAACCTGATTTACTGCTAATCCTCAGTTTTAAATTGTCGAAATCGTTACCAGGCTTCCACATGAAGTTTGATAAAACAACATGGGAACAACGTCATTCCCAGCTCAGATTATCACCCTCTTAGAATTCTAAACTGGGGGGAAGCAGACGATGGGTTTCAGTGGTAGAAGCAAGGAAGGTAAAAACTCTTTATAACCAACAAAACATTTTCCTGATCAAAATGATTCACTTTCCAGTGATGCTGTGTTCGTGGTAGAATATGTGCAATTCTTTCCTATGAAATTGTTTTCACTGCTTAAATACAAGTTGGTTTGCAAACTGCGCACCAGTGTAAAGAGGTTTCGAGGTCACTTTGAATGCCTCCGCGTATATACTTTTGCTATTGACTTTAGCTCTTGCAATCCTATAAACCAGTACCAAATGTTTGTTTATCTCCTTTAACAGGATTCCCTGATACTTGAGCTTCAACGGCTACACACCTACCAAGCGCTGTCTAGCTCCGCATATCTGGCACTTACCACATCGGACCCCATATCCACAGCTTTTGTGCTACGTGATGAACTTTATCAGTTGGCGTCACAGGAGAAGCAGTTCAAAGTAAGGCCTTCAATTACTTGCAACCATTTATCCTGAAACCAGCAATTTTATTTCGCAATCCATTTGTCTTATCGGTGCTGATTTGTCTACTAACGACTGTAGGAGGCAGGTGCGATAATAATAATAATAATATAATAATAATAGTTAGGATAATAATAATAATAGAGCATCTTATAAAAATGCTGTCGATCTTCATGCTTTTGTTGAACTTTGTTGCAAATCACCTACTAAGAAATTAAAAGATATCCTGTGAAGTCTTTCATACTACGAAATATATTATCTGTTCCATAAGTACTCGTTTAAATGTACAGCACACTCACGTTTCATCTATACGTGGTATAAAGAATAAAAAGTTGTGTGCATCTAACTTCGGTGAAGGTGAATGTAGGCACTAACCTACAATGTTTCGTCACGGCCCAACTAAGAAGCGATCCATTTGAATTTGAAAAAGATATGTCATTCCCCTAAAGAAGGCAACACAAATATCACATATAATCTGCAATAAAACGTAAATGCTCCAGCACTCCGTTAGTCAGTGAATGTGAAAAAATGCGTCCATCTACAAGGAAACCGAAAAAGTGTACGTTATTTTCATCATTAGCTTCGCAGTAAAGAAGATAAGTTATATTTAGTGAAGTAGACACACGAACGTATTATGAGGTTAAACTAAAAAGTTAACTAAGAGTTTCAGGAAACACCGGTTGAAAAACATTTGCGCTCTGATACCTTACTGCCTTATCTCAGTAAGCTTTCATGTTTTTGATGACAATAGACTCAAAAAGATATTGGGTCTGGGCTCTCAAAAACCCTGTTCTCCGCGATCGCGTTTGAAATTACTTGATTTCAATATGCTTAAATATTTGGTAATATATCAGGGACTGCTAGGATGATAGCCAAATACCTCTACCTCTTATTCATTGAGTTAAAACGGGTAACACTTCGAGCACCGGTCATGGACTGATGAAATTATTATTTTGCTTCATTAGTTACTGACCCGGTGTTCAATTCGGCCAAGCTCCACTTCATTGCGAATCGCCGTCCGCATTGAGATTTCGTACCGCTGTCCATTCATATAACGAGCAACTAAAACGGATCCTCCAGTCAGACCCAAATATCTGTTAGGCGAACTGTTCGCCGTGTTCGGCATTTATGCTGCAAATACTTATTCACCAGCCAAAGTGAAATCATCATTGCGTTAACATGTAGTATCGGAGCGATGCGCAAGTGACCGTGAATAGGGTTTGACGTAAGCGTGGTTTTTGTAAGTCATTAGCTTTTGGGCAGGTGATTTGTGAAAATGGTCGCTTCGATCCATTCGTTGTAACTATATCCCGTTTTTCTCCGCGGCTGAAAATACTGCTTGAGCATTTAGTGTGATCGCTACTTTCATTTGAGGTAGTTACTTACGATGGTTATTCGTTGCTAGTAGGTTTGTGCAGATTTCTTCCAATTCAAAGCGTTACTTAATCGCATTGTTTGAAGGATGCGATGCGTTTAACCATTCTCTTCCCAGTTTTTCGCTATTCCCCGTTAAAGTTTTCACTTTTTCCAGAGCAGAATGATGACCTATTTCATCCTGTATATAGGGATAAAGGAATAGCTATTATGCCCACTTAGGGCTTTCTTATACTCTGTGATTTGTGCGGAAAGTTTTCCCTGTTTGTTCGATGTATTGTTTGGAATATTCCATGCCGTTTATCTGGCGTCTAAATAGTGTTTGACTACCGTATTCGATCTTATTCTTCGGTCTTGAAAACAACACTTTCAGATAAGCATTTGGCCACTGTGCTACCGTGAATCTGTGTGGATGTATTAATCTTGCTGCTATCGGGTTGAAAGTTCAGTAGAAACCCTTATGTCTAGATACTGTCTAAGGAATAAGTCATCTGTTTGAAAGAGGACTGGATAAGTTATTCCAAACGGATGTAATTTGCACAAGGAGTCCCAACCGCAAAAACAGTAGCATATCTTTGCGAAGCCAGGATTAGCGGCAGGAACTCCTACTCCGGCACTGACAGACTCAGACTAACTGACATTGACCATCTACATGAACGTTTTGCCTCAAAGTGTTTGGAAATTACGTGCTTCGCTATCCATTCAATGTCTCATAAATGATAAGAAAGATCCTTTCCACGAATCTGTAAAATCACGAAACATAAACTTGATAGTGGTAACGGAATCGGCACGATTACCGATAAGAAAATAAGGTTGATGACTCTACGTCTACATCTAAAGGGAATCTGTATCGTAGCAAGGCTTCTTTTAAACACATGTGACAGATGTCTGCCAGCTTTAATGGATACAGCCTTAACCCTTCGAATTACCGCACTTCAGCCGTGACACACGCTGGCATTCACAGGCGATGTAGCAGATACATCTGCTTTCTCTCGAACATTGACCTGGCTTTTCCTATGTGGCTTGTGATTTCTTTATCATTGCATTCAATAATTTAGTGATGCACAGCGTTTTGTGACTTTCACAGTAACTCGAATTGATACAGCTCAAAAAATTATTCCGTTTCTTGTCACTACTAAGCCATTGCATTTTTCCACGACAATGTAATCCAAAGGAAACTGAGACGTTAGATCAACTAATTATATCTAGAAAGCAATACACTACAAACGAAAGTTAACAAAGGCCATTTCATAAAGAAACCCCAATCACGCATATCTGTGGCTGTCACCCATGGAGAAGTGGCACTGTCTGCTGGCATCCAGAAGTCATGGTGGAGGAACTCGGCAGGGGTAGGCTGGGAGACTAGACCCAGAAAATCGAAATGCCGGCTTCTGGTGATTTTTCAGATTAGCTTAAGCCTGTTTATTGGGAGTGACCCTAGTGGAATAACTAAATTGAATGCTAAAAGCTTAGCTGCCATACGTGGCTGCGGTTAACCACAGCAGATATGTTTTATAAAATCATTAACTACATGTTCTACGTAAATACTGCAAACGTTTCTGCTACAATTTAAAACTTTGTGGAATAGCCTAGCTAATTTTGCAGCCTAGTACAACTTCAAAAATGTGCCATCTTTGCTGTGGAATTATTTGCACTGAAAATGTTTTTCACTGCTTTTAGAATATTCAAGGATGCTTCGAACTGCGGTGTGCCAAGACAATTTAAGCCACAGTTAAATTGAACTTTTAGCTCAGTTTGTACGCCACAGAAGCGGGCTCAGTTTTCCTCTCCCTCAGTTTCCATTCTATGACTGGTCTTATTTCCGTCTCTACCACTCGGGGCAAAGTAGCGGAAGGCGTGTTCGAAATCAAGGACCCGTGATTTCCTGACGCATATCTTGAACGACAAGTCGCGCTCCAAAGGCGTAACGCACACCAATGAGGCTCACTTGTTAAAAAATTGGATTACAATGCCCCAATAAGTGGTAACCATGGTTTATAAATAGTAAACTGCAGTAGTTAGTGGGTCTCATGGGATGGAAGGGTAGGTAATTCAGAAACCAGAATAACCTTAAATTATTAAAGAAAGCTTTACTGATCTCATTAGAAGTACAACGGATCACAATGCTTTTGTGTGTTAAATCAATACCATAGCAAAATTGGTTATGCGGCGTGATGAAATATATAAATGCATTGTCAAGCAGCTTTTCGAATAGCGGTAATGTGCTGCGGTAAAAGGTGAGTAGAGAGAGCTTTTCCTGACTGGCACACACGGAGAATAAAGAAACTTCAACAACGTTCCAGCCTGCTATACTTTCGGACCAGCGTTAGCTGTTTGGTTTCTCAAGGCGATGTTTGGCTCGGATTTAGAAGGTGATGACAAGCTGGGTTGGGATTCGTCAGGATTTGATGCGCCGTTTACATCGTCACGCAGTCAAGAATATGGTCACCTGTACATCCGCATTGCGCTTAACCTCAACTAATTATGCTGAACAACCCCATATTTTCTAACTTACTCTCCGTTGGGGAATATTGAGTTCTGTTGGACAATACATATGTCGAGGTTATTAGGCTAAGAAAGTATATGCATAGTAGGTTTGCTATAAGTATTGAGATCTGGGAGAAAACGTAAGTGTCAAATAGTGCAAATTACCTTCGCAATAGGCCAAAGTGCCCGCTGAGCTTTGTATTACATCCACGGTTCGGTTCGAGTAGCCAACAAGGTCTAGTACCTGTTAATCTCAAGCGTTTTGCTTCAGCCCGACTTTGGGTGTTCGAACCAGGATAAAACGACATCAAGGAAGGGGCTCCAACATTTAGGCTAAGTGAGACGCGCTTTCGGATTATCCGACCCTTCTACTTCGAAAGAGCTTTTCGACTCATAAGTTCGTCCACATGTGGAATAAGAAATACAGGTCTGACAAACATGGCTGAGGAGAGATCTCACCGTCTTGGAAACACCCAAACGCCGGGCAACAAATAATGTTAATAGTTTGTATGATTTTTGTATTAACGATGGCTTCTAATGCCTGGAATCTTTAGCGGTCAATATCGGCGATTACATGGGGAGCACATTTTGACTGACCAAAATTAGCGAGATCATAACGACGCGTGCCACCATCTTCTAGAGCTCAGTCACAACAGTAATTTGACAGGCCGCCATCTCTAGCTGGCAGAACGGCGTAGTCGCTTGGAATGCCGCCGAAATTTCATATCTTTCCTTTTTTCTAATCGTGGAACGCTCTACCAGAATCTTTCATCTGTTCTTCGATGCTGATAGAATTCAAAGCTCGATATGACCACCCACATCTTTTGCTGTACAACATCACATAACTCATTGCCCTTGACTAAACACTGATGTCTCTTAGAGAGTTCACTGCTGTTTAACTCACAGAATACACTCCAGGTTTTACCTCCTGTTTGAGTTTACAAAACGACGGCACAATGTTTACTAATTCCCCATTGGTCATCCTTCCTTATGGACTTACCTTAGATTTACATTTTATACTACGAACACCGCGGTGAGTCCGCCAGTGTAAACCTAGTTTTGCTGGTAATGTTTCGATATGTTTATCTTCACAATTACCATCCTGCGGCGCCTATTAG